AGTAGATGGCTTTGATCATGCAATGTGTCCAAATGGGAAACCTGAATCACCCTGGAATTTTGGAAATTATAACCAATTGGCCTGAAGGTGGGAACTTCAGTCTGGCGGATGAAGAAGAAGAAGAGCCAGTGAGTCGAGCTGAAGAAGCTCCACCATATAATCAGCTGCCAGATGAAGAGACGCATTATGCCCTTTTCACTGACGGTTCTTGCCGCATTGTAGGAAGGAGCCGGAAGTGGAAAGCAGCTGTGTGGAGTCCCACGCGACAGGTGGCGGAAGCCATTGAAGGTGAAGGTGAATCAAGTCAATTTGCAGAACTCAAAGCTGTCCAACTGGCCTTAGCCATCGCTGATTCATGAATGATAGCCAATGCCCTATGGGGATGGCTAGACAGGTGGAAGAAAATGAATTGGAGACGTAGAGGAAAACCCATCTGGGCTGCTGATTTGTGGCAAGACATCGCTGCCAGAGCGAAAAAACTGAATGTGAGAGTCCGCCATGTAGATGCCCATGTGCCCAAGGCTCGAGCTAATGAGGAACACACTCATAACAGACAGCAGACTGTACTGCACAAGTCGAAGTATCACAAGTAGACCTAGACTGGTAGCAGAAGGGAGAGTTCTTCCTAGCTCGCTGGGCCCATGATGCTTCAGGTCATCAGGGCCGAGATGCCATCTATAGATGGGCACGAGACCAAGGGGTGGATTTGACCATGGACACTATTTCCCAGGTTATCCATGACTGTGAAACCTGAGCTGCCATTAAACAGGCCAAAAAGCTGAAGCCCCTATGGTATGGTATGGTGGACGCTGGGACAAGTATAGATACGGAGAGGTATGGCAGGTTGACAACATCACATTGCCACAAACCTGCCAAGGTAAACACTATGTGCTTACCATGGTGGAAGCAACTACTGGATGGTTAGAGACATATTCGGTACCACATGCAACAGCGCGAAATACCATTCTAAGTCTCGAGAAGCAGGAGTGCCTGTGGAGACATGGCACTCCAGAGCGAATTGAGTCAGACAGTGGGACCCATTTCAAGAATAATCTAGTGGCCACTTGGGCACAGAAGCATGGTATTGAATGGGTATATCACATTCCATATCATGCACCCGCTGCTGGAAAAGTTGAAAGGTGTAATGGACTGTTAAAAACAACTCTGAAGGCACTAGGTGAGGGAACTTTCAAGAACTGGGACAAGCACTTAGCCACCTGGCTAGTTAACGCTAGAGGCTCTATCAATCAAGCTGGTCCTGCCCAAGCAGAATCCCTCCACACTGTAGATGGAGACAAAATTCCAGTGATCCATCTGAGAAGTATGTTAGGGAAGGCTGTTTGGATTACTCCTCCCCAGGCCAAGACAAACCCATTCGTGGGATTGTTTTCGCTCAAGGGCCTAGAAATACCTGGTGGGTAATAAGAAAGGATAGAGAGATCCACTGTGTGCCCCAAGGGAATTTAACCTTGAGGAAAGACTAATCATGTGCTTTGAGTAGTGTTTTGCAGGAAACCAGTCACCAGATGACAAAGGCCTGAACAATTGGTGCTGGTATCTAGTGACAAACCAGCCCAGACTAAAGAACCAGCCCTAAAACCAGAACTGTAATTGTCACCAAAGGGCCAAGAATCCGAACCAAGCTAATCCTGATGCTGATTCTTCTACAACAAGATGAATGCCCTAAAGAATGAACAAGGACTATATACATATATGTATATGTGTATATACGCGTGGAATATAAGAGAACGTGAAATATAGGTGTTATATAAAAATAGTATGGAATAAGGGGTGGAGAATGTGATGGTTTTGGTCTAGGCCTTCCTGGTGACCAGTTTGTAACCAAGGAAGTGGCCAAGTGCCCAGTATTCCATACGATTTTTACGTAAACCAGAGTATAAATAAGTTGGAGATTAGAGACCTCGCTCTCTTCTCTTCCGGCGAGGTTTGGGAACAGTGGGTCCTTGCACTGGTCTCGCTTATCTAAGGCTGAGGCCTGCAGCGTCCACTGACCTGCCACGTGGAGGTTCGGAGAGTGCTGGCCGTGTCTGCCAATCCTGCTTTTCTAGGGGACGTGGTGAGATCTGTTTTGTCCGTTATTAGTATAGCTCTTGAGTTTGATCGCATATACCTGTTCGGTGTCCCTTTTTGTTCCCTTTTATCCCTTTTTTCCCCTTTCCCTATCCCTTTGGGGATGGGGGTGTTTGGATTCCCTTTTACTGTGTACATAGCATCTTAACTGTGTATAACTGTAATATACGTAAATATATATATTTTTATATAAGTAGCTTGACTTTGGGGTCTTTAATTTTTTTTTAATAGTTTTTTTTTTTGCCCTAAGGGGAGAAGGGAGGGGGGAAAGGAGTTGCTGCCGTGACTTTCGGGCATTTGGCAGGGAGCCAAGTCCGAACTATCAAAGAACCTGTAATTCTCTGGTTTTAAAAAAAAAAAAAAAAAAACTACAAGATCTGTGATCTCTCTGGCACAATGCCAGCAAAGTGCTGGATTCCACAAGCAACAGTAATGTTTCTTAAATAATACACATAGTAAAAATTAAGGCTTCATCATGCTTCAGATACAGGTGTCTCAATATAAAATTGACTGTCACCAATGGAAAAGAAAATGTAATTGTTAAACTGTTAAACTGAAGAATATGGATGTACAGCACAGCAGTATTTCTCACTAATTTTGATGGCCCATGTATAAATATAAATCACATTTTTACTAAGTTCCTTGTGGTTTTCCACCTGAAATTCTGTCAGATATTTACCTTAAATGTAACACATCTCTAACAAACTTTTTTCTTTAAAATGCATTTTGTAGAAAGCATGCATTTGTTTTGTTTCTCGCAAATAGGTTGCTATGACAAATATATCCCACCATTCCCTCTCTCCCATATGGTGCCCAAAATGTCAGTAATTTGTATTCATCTCCTCTCCACAAATAATGACAATCCTGAAGGAAACTGAACAAAACATAAGAACAACCTCTAATTTCAAACAGAATCAAGAAGATCCTTTCTTAGAACTATCTTCAGGCATTATAATAATGGCCAGTCTTCGCGAGCGAAGATCCGGCATTAAGACGTGAAAAATATTAGTTGTGCAAGTACACCATCTGCTGGCCAAAAAGTAACTGTGGTAGAATTATTGTAAGACAACATTTTGATCAGAGGCACTGTAACTTTCTCACCAACAGTTTGGTACCAGTTTTTTTCCTTCTTTTCCTTTATACACCACTGGGCTGTACAACATCACAGTGGCTGACATTAACTGCTCAAGTCTGTTCACACTCCTCAGTGTCAATTGCTTTCACTAACATTCCTCCTGTTATTTATATTTAAATAGTACCCATTTTATCACATGTATCAAGGTTTTTTTAGTCTATTTTTTATTGCTTTCCTCCCCACTCTCTGCAACTTTGTTTCAATGCTTTGTTTCCTTCTCCTATGCATGTAGCATCTGAGCATCTCTGAATGCTGCCCTTTTCACTTCCCCATTTGTTTTTTTTTTCTGACCTCCCTTCCTCAGCTTCCCAATCTAATGAGACTGTAATTCCACAAGAAGGAAATCTCTGACCTTCTCTTTGGCCAGTCAGCATTTCCAAATTGGATATTACTGCCTTCATTCCTTTGGAAATGTTGCACATGCAATAGTAAACTTAAGATACTGAAGCAGAAAGCAAACATAATCAAAACAAAGCATATATTTGTAAAAAGTTATACCATAAGGCATTATCTGCCAACAGTAAATCAAAAAAAAAAAATCAGAGAAGAAAAAGGGCAAACATCTATTTCTTGAAACAAAAACTGCTTTTCTGTGCCTCATTTCGGTCTCTACAAAGCAACAGCCACCTAGAATGTCTTTTTGCCAAAACACTCCAAATCAGAATCTTCAATTACTCTCTAACTTATTTTTTAAAATAGTTAATTGGAATCACAATAGAATCTGGACTTGCTACTTTCTCTAAACAACAGACCACTGCACAACTATAGCTGTGTTTCAAAGATGACATAATTCAGTGCAAAAAGTGAATTGCCCTCAGCCATATTGGTTGACCATATTTATCTTTGGACAGTTCTCAAGTCATCTGTTTTCTGTGAAGAAATATGAAATACTAGTAGAGCCTCAGACCATCTGCCACAGGGAAATCATACTTTTTTTTTTATTGATTGCAGAAGGCAGTTACATAGAACATGAAATAACTCAAGAACTCCACACATGGTAGATTCTTTTAATAAAAGTTTGCCCTGTATTTTTTAAATCCTCAATTTTTTTCTGAAATACCTAAATTTCTTCTGTTAGTCTCATTACTTAAATAATCCTTGCAAAATCTAGTTCCTGTCATTACTTACAGAGCCTAAAAGACATCAATGACTATTGTGTAATTCTTTGGATAATGAGATTTGTGTTCAGAGTCCCTTTATTATCCACAGAGATCTTGGCAGGTAACCAGCAAAATTCATTTCCTTAGGAAATTTCAATTTTGTCTGTTTTAACTGAAAGGTAAACAGTAAGTGTAAGCACATTTCCAGGAAATTGCAGGCATTCCAAGCATGTATAAAGTACAACTATTAATCATATTCCTCAGTGAAAGAGGAAGAAATAAAGTATCTCATCTTTTAATTTTAAAGTAAAAACTTTTAGAGATATTTAAAGTATCTCTAAATTTCCACATAAGTCCAAAGAAAACATACACACTAAAATGTTTATAAACAAATAAATAAGTATGAAGTAATCTCAGAGTTCTGGAGAGTTCAAAGTGAAGAAAGGGAGGAGTGATGATCAGGAAGAGCAGTAATATTATATTGTCTAAAGACAGAACTGTCTGACTCTTGCAGGTGTAGAGTTAATTTCAACCTGTCTTGGAGTCTTTAAAGTGAGTAACACAAAGATTTCAAAAGACAGATTCTCAGTCACAAAACAAAATTTTATCCTTTAAGTACAGTACTCTTTAAAAGAGGGCTGGAAGAGATAAACTTCATAAAAAGCTATGCATACTTCATCATAAATGCTCCCATTGATATCTGCTCCATAAATTGGTGCCACAAAAGTCAAGTTCCTCCAATATTTACGCTCCAGATCTTCGTAATCTGTGTATCTTGGGGTGCGGTATCTGCAGAGGAAGAAGTAGGCAAAGGTTCAACACAGTCTTTCAACAACCACCTTCACAATGCACCATGCTTCTGAACCCAAAAACTGAATTCTAAGAGATCACTTTATTTCAAATTTGCCAAAACAGAGGAATTGCTACTTGTCCTGAGTTCTTATTGTCATGATTAACCACATCATGGAAGCTTCTGCCTGACAACCCCAGTAAGTGAAGTCATCCACCTACCCCAATAACATTTGCTTCAGCCTCCAGCAGCTCATCAGCACATCTACTGACTGTCCTCAGGCTGAACCCCTCCTTTTCATTTCCATTACACACAAAAACACACACAGAAAAGCCATGCAATTAACAAGTATTTATCATTTTCCCACCTCACCACCAACTCTGCAAAGACACAGATGTAGCTCCTGCATAACCCTGCCTCAGAACAACTCAAATTTACTAAGTCAGCCCATGCATCAGCCCTGCCAGGAAAGACCAGTAGTTTCTTCTCTTCTTTCTTCCCCAGTAAAACTTTTCAAAAAAGCTGTAATATTTCAAACAATTGGTATCAAAAATTCTACAATGCAGAGAAAAAAAATATTTAAAGGACTTTCTATTCCTTTATAACAACAGAAGATACCACACTCACATGCTTGATTGAAAGAACCTAATGAACACATGCTTAAATATATTTATGTATATACTTTTATACACATAAATATATTTATGTACATATGTTATACTTATGTAAAATCTTGTGGGAACACGACACAAGCATACTACCATAGAAACATCTATCAGTAGCTTTGCCTTGCGATCCTTTGTCAGACCTTTGTTCTCCCATATTTAGGTCCTCAGAAAACTTGCTCCCCCCCTTTATTGCAACTCTGAGAAATGAAGTTTCATATCAGAACTGCCAACATGCTACACATGAACAACTGGAAAGAAAATCCAAACATACAGGACTAAAGTAGACCAGGTACACTTACATCATGTAATAACTCTGAACAGAGACAAAAAAACTTAACAAAAAATCATCTTAACCAAAGCATTCTCAGCAAGACAGTTGTTTTATTATTCCTTATAATATAACTCCAGAAATCAGATTGTTTATTTCTGCTTGGCACTGAGTAATATGCATACATAAACTTCCTGATTACAGGATGCAGCTATGCCCTTATTTCCCAGAGGTCAAGTAGGTAAGTATTTTGGTTCAATGGTGAGTTGCACATGTCTGAACAAATAAGAGATGAAATCCATCAGACTGAGTACACATGATCTTTTTAAAGGTAACTATGATTTAATTTAGATATTCATGGCCATTGTCTCTTACCCAAAGGAAATAGGTAACATCTAATAGATAACAATACTCAAGAAAAGGGTCATCAACAGACAAGTCTTCCCCGTTAAGGAACAAAATTATTTTTATGGGAGAACAGAGGCTCTCAGCTACCTGATAGTTTAATAAATACAGACTCAGAGTGTCATAGGAGGTTATATGACACATTTTCTCAAGAGAAGTGATAAATATTTAGAATAACCTACAATGAGTAATAGATAGGAAGCCCTCCCAACTGTTCTTAATTTTGACCATGAAACTAAGTTGCCATTTGATTTCAGTAAAAAACATGAAAACTGAAATCAGAAACACTTCCAAAATATGGTCCATAATAAAGAATAATAAACTTAAACATCATGGTATATACTAAAATCTTTAGTTTTGCATTATGAAACTATTTTAACAAATTAGTGTCTCATTTTATTATGAGTTAACAAAATGTAAACTTTAAACATCTATGAAAAAGTATCACTGGAAATTACATCAGATACCATGGAGTTCTTATGTTTTACTCCTACCTCAAAAAGTTACTAATCAATTTTAAAAACTACAAAATAGGTTCCCACTCCCACTTACCAGAGAAAGAATACTGTGTGATAAACACAATTTTTCACAGGTAATATAAGAGTGGAAATACCAATCCATTTTAATTGAAGAAAAAAGATTATCCATTTTGCACTATTATAAAGGCACATATATTATGGGACATAATTGCTGAGGAGTCTCTTTAAAAACTTTTCATGTCCTAGTTTTTCCTGATCTTGATAGCAGCTTCTCACACCTTAATTTCTTAATTAACTTATGAGATAAACTTTGCTTCAAACTAAGGCAGTGTTACCTTCCTCTGTTCAAATATCTTTTCTCCCTAAGATGCTTTGACTCACCTCCCAGAAACTATTTCCACTCAGTTTTGAGAAAATACTGAAGTAAAATGTATTCTTTCCATGTGGTCAAAAGGATAAGGAAGAATTAACATAGATATTCACTGGATGCAGATGAGTTCTCTTAAATTAATGCAAAACTTAAATTAATGCAAAAAATCCTGGTTTTTTTTCAGAATTACATGATGACGGGCCATTCCAGTATCTAGGAATTAAACATGAATAGGTGTAATCAAACTAAAACTCAGATGTTAGGTTGTATCATCTTCACTATTTTCTATATAACCATCTTTTAGAACAGAAAGAAAAAAGGAAGACAGAAAGTATCATGTCTCCAGGTTTTCCAGATACTTTCTTGCTGTCATGGTATCGGATAACTTTCAATAATATAAACAAAAACAATATTCACATTGTTGTACCCCTAGGAGTCAGGAAAAAAAAACAAAAAAAAAGAATCACCATTTACCTTGCATAACTCAAAGAAATCACAATATGTGAAGATAAATACTTGTCTTCCTAAGCAAGACATACATACTTGTTACTGTTGGCCAGCTGCTTGAACTCCTTCACTGTCATGGGCTTTTTCTGAATGTTGTACTGTGTGAAAAGCCCCGACTGCCCAGTGACTATCTGTTGAATTGGAGCAGGAATCACCAAATCTTCAATATCATTATAATGTTTTCTTGGCTTCCACTCCTTCGGTGGGATAACCTTTAAATTCAAAAATAAAAAACAGGACATCACAGTTGCGATATCAGTTCAAAACATCCTGGAAAAAATTGAAAGAATCAGTCAAATATGCCCACATGATCAAATGAACACTTGTTTACAAATTGTTTCCCACTAATTGATTATGTATGCGGTCCTAGATAATGTAGAAAGCAATTCAAAATAGGGATAGAGTCACCTCAATTTACAAGCAGCAACTCAGTCATCTACAGCAATTCAAAGACAACTGCACAAGCATGCTGTACAATCAGAAAGCATTACAACTGAAAAACAGTTCAGAATCCAAAGTATGATACATATTTAGTGCTAAAAAATGCATGAAATTTGTGTTTGGGGATATGGTTTAGTGGTGAACATGGTGGTGGTAAGGTCAGTGGTTGGACTCAGTGATCTTGGAGATCAGTGGTTGGACTCAGTGATCTAACAATTCAAAGATATAAAATTTTGACTGTCAGTTAAAATAAAAACTCATACAAAATCTGGCATTCCCCTGTCTAAATGTTATTTGGTATAAACAGTATATATAACTTTATTTTTTACTGAAAGGTGAAAGAAGTACAGCCATTTTAGAGACCTTCAGATTTGAGAGTGTGTGCAACTCACTCCCTGTAATACTACGGGATGCAACTATTATAGTAAGAGTTTGCACTAATTTAGATATATTATCTCTTATAATTACATGATTTAATCCTCATAATTGAAGATTAAAGCTATGTGCAGATTAACCAATTTTAAAGTTAACATATTTGTTTCAAGTACCACAGAATTGCCCACAGTCTGTGAGAACTACTCAGAAGATTCTGAAGTGTTAGCAACAAAATCATTAAGGATTTCAAAGAAGCCTATAGTAACACCAGTGTTCTTTAACAGGGTTGTGTAATTTTGAACATTCTTTGCATATATTATTTTACCTGAAAACAGATAACTCTCTAGATGTTAACTGCATCACTTTTAAAGCACAGGAACAGAAAATGTTTACATTTTTTTTGGTTTGGTTTCGAACTTTTACTCGTTCAGAGGTTCAATGCCATGTTTTTGATCTACTCCTTATATTCATTATTTTCTGCCATGCTCAAATCAAATTTTCACAAATCACAAATGGGCAAATTGTAATGCTAATGTACTCAAACACTTCACTCCTCAAAGAAATCCAGTCAAGACCATTCGTGCTAACAAGTACAAAGCTGTCGTGGTTTTGCCCTGGCTCAATTTACTTTTATACCCCCACATACAATTACTATTAGTTGAGAGAAGGTTTATGCAGACAAAAAGAGACTGAATTGAAAAAAGAGTATGAGTATTTATTATTAACAAACTAAAACTAAAGAATTATATCTACTTAAGTAAAAGGTATTATGTATTTACAGAAGATACTTCTCCCCCCACCTCCCTTTATATCAGTCCAAGGAGGAGAAGCAGTCTTTTTCTGTTCTCGGAATTCCAGCTCTCTCTCTCTCCAGTAATTCTGCAGCACTTTCGTCGCAGTTGGAATTTCTTTATCTCTCTCTTATTCTGTGTTGGCCTCCAGGGCTGGGCCTACCCCCCTCCTGGGTTAAAACCGAAGGCTGAGGGTTACCCAGGTCCTGAAGGGTCTCCTTCCATAGGCTTGCAAGGGGACACTTGCTTACTATGGATCTTCTTCCACAGGGTTACAGGGGATAATGGTTTAAGAGTTCACCCCTGTTTCCCTATGGAGGTCCCTCCCCATGGGAGAACAGTCCTTGATTGACTTCTCGGCATGGGTCTAGTCCGGATCCCTTACTTGGATCTCAGTATCCTACCAGAGCCGTTTCCTGCTAAAGCGTAGGTTCTCTCAGGGTCACAAATTTCTAGCACCAGCAGTATGGATCCCACACATGGATCCCAATATCCCTACCCGAACCGTTTTCTGTTCCAGCGTAGGTCCTCTCAGGGTCACAAATCTTCAGTAACAGCATGGATCTCTCACTGAGATCCCAAGTTTATCTGAGCCGTCTCGCTCCAGCATAAGCATCGTCCCCTTCGAGAGTCACAAAGTCTTTAACAGGACTCTGCCTCATCTGAGCCGCTTCTGCTCCAGCATAAGGCTTTCTCTCTGTTAAAGTCACAAATCTCTGGTGCATTCACAAGCTCCTCTGTGAGCCGCACGGGGGGTCTCTTCACCCCAACAAACTTCTACAGGTGGCAGGGTTTTATTTTTTCAGTCTTTACCCTGCTGAAGGGAGGGAGAGCGGAAGGGAGAAAAAGCAGCTCTCCCCCCTTCAAACTTTTCTTCTCTCTCCTGCGACTGCAGCTTTGACCTTGGAAATTCTGTTATCTCATGGCTGGAATTCTTCTGCAGCGGTTTCTCGTCTAAGCAGTTCGTCTTTTAAACTTTTTTTTTCTTCACTCTCTTACAAGAGAGAAGAGAGACTTCAGTACTACACCTGCCCCCCCGGCCCAAGCCGGGGAGGAGGGGGCCTTGGCCCTCCTCGGGCCCACCGCGTCTCTCCTACATGGCTGCTGCTCCTAATTTCAACTGCGCCACAACCTTCTCTTCCATTTTCTTAAAAATGTAATTAGCAAAGGCGTCACTGAACTTTTTGATTGGTTTTTTTGTCCGGAAATCACCTGGACAAAACCATCCTCAGCCCCAGGGATGGGCTGGTGGGCAAAACCACGACAAAAGCAAAGGACAAACATCAAACTGAAGAAAACTTTTAAGAAAGTAACATACTTCCAAATCTAAAGTTTTTAGTTCAAAAATAAACAGGCATTTTTATTCAGTTTTTACACAGATGTAACTCCCTCTTTTCTTTTTTTTGCTTCTCAACTTCCATAGGACTTCTGCTGTACAGGGACTGCTTAGCAAGTTTCAGTGTTGATTGCTTTTAGAGAAAAAAAGTAAGCGAATCATCTTGTGATTCCTACTTACTTCTTTCACAGAAATCTTGAATTATATGCACATCAACAAAATGTAAAATGTTAATTTGAAGCAGAGAAATCATGCATCCAGAATATATGCATAGAAATCAAATATGTGCACAGAGATTTCCATTTTCATGATTATTAAGCATGAAGTTGTAGGTTTGGTTCAAATATATGAATACTGAAAAGCAATATTTGCATTATCTTACTTAAGTCAAGGTCAGTGTGTTTTAGGCAATAAAAATATTGTTGTGAATACAAGTTCAAAATATCTCCTTCCAGCTAACTGGAGCATGTTTATTGCTGCTGTAATTAGCGTACTGGTAAAAGAAGTGAATTCTCTGGAAACTGATATACAAAGTATCACTTTAAAAGAAAATAAAAATAGAGTTGTTGCCCCAAAGAATTTGCATTTCCTAACCAAGATTAGGACAAAGGCTGAAAATGTTAAATTATCATGTCCAAAGCGGCAGGCAACTAGACAATGTAAGAGCTGGAAATAATGACCAGATCTCTGTGACCTGTCCCACTGAAGCCTCTACATATTCCCTTCAGTAAACATAACTTTCTCAAAGTCAGGTAAGTTAGGTTTATTCAATGGAAGCAACTTAGATCAAATTCAGTAATCAAGCTTTTGAAAGCTCAAATATGAAAAAGGAAAAACCTAAGGCAAAGTTTTGTCATATACATAAATATTTATTTATTTATCAAAGATCCTAAGCATATTAATACTGTCTCGTATATTGTAGTATGATATGCATTCAGGTTTAGATAGAGACATCTTAGTTATACCAGTCTCCTGCAGGAAGACTGCAGTTTAGTACTACTAAGGTTACTGGGGAGTGCTCTCAACACATACACTGCTGTTAAATGCTCTTTCATATATTGGTAATCTCCTGTTGAACATCTGACCCTGAATGGCATCAGCTACTATTTATATGTAACTACTTCTCCCCAGTTCCTCTGAAAATTGTTTTTCTTGCACTTGTCAATATCTATTTTCAGCATAATGTTCAAAAATTACTTATCTACTTGCCAATGTGACTGAAAATTAATTTCACTATTTTGCTCTACATAAATTCAGTTTGAGACTTCAAAACAATTCTTATTCCAATAAAGACCAACTAATCTATCAGCTCGCCTTGTTTTTAATTTGTTCCATTCTTTCCAGTCATTGTTTTCCAAGTCTTGGACCCCTGTAAGAGTAAGACTAAATTAGACTTTTCTTATGCCTAAAGCTCATTCCAGACTTTCAAAAGCCTAATGGCATTTTTTTGTTGCCAATATTGTTTATCTAGTACCTTGATCACTTGTTTCAGACACAGTATTAGGAACTTACAGGGTAGTTGTGGTTTTTTTAACTTTTTATTTCTCACTGTCTCTCCCTTCTCCAATACGTGCAAGACTTATAGTCATTTTATCCCTATTTACATACACATGTTCTTCTACAAAGGTAACAGGTTTTCTCCCCTCACACCTTCACATTTAACCTAAGGTGTTGGATACACCTACTCTGATCGTGTTCTCTGTTTAGAGGTTAAATTACTGTTTCTGCATATGCATATAGTTCTGGTAGTTGTTACTCTCTTCACATTAATACTTGAGCTTGTACATGTTAGATTTCAGAAAAATAAGGTTCTCTGTAAGGTAATTTTATATTACTATCAAAACAGGAAAAAAAAATTTTTCTTGTTATTTTAAAATCAATTTCCAAAACCCAGAAAATATCCCTTTGCAGTATGAATTGTTCACTTAATAAGATTTGTTTTAAAAAATACTTTATAAACTTTGTTGAGATATATCAAAACATAGTGAAAAACAGAACTCAAAATTCTGAAGAGAAAGTAGTAATATGTAGCAAGTCACTGTGAGACTAAAAACTTAAATGCTTTAACTGCTATTCAAGTAAGCAAGATGATGTCACTACAATGCATATGAAATTTAGTGTCCAAAATCAAAGGATTGCAATAGTTCATCCCCACACAAACAGGTTCCATAATAGAGCTGAATATCGGAAAAATTCAGCTCAGGTTTTCCAGTGTTGTCTATTTATCACATTTCTACTTCTGTTGGCAGAGAAGTATTTGAGAATATGACCTATGTGTAGTCTGTCCTCAGAAATAAAAAAATCAAATAACCTACAAGGTTTCCAAAGGGTGAGGAGTTCAGTTTTGCCTGGGTTTACAGGAAGCAGGAGGAAGGAGTGGGCAGGGGAAAAGAACTGCAAGTCTTGTTTCTCTTCTCTAAGATTCTAAGTGTCTTGTCACTTAAAAACCCAATGATGGACATGGTTATCCCCACTGAGCATTTACATTAATTAAACTAGTACTTCTACGACCTGCACCGGGTCCTGCTCGTTTGAAAAGTAGCAGAACAGATACAGCATAAACACTTATATAATGTATCACTAAACTACATCAGACTTTAACCTCTGACAATCACTCTCTGTGAGGGGACGGACATATGCTGTAAGGTCCTGGACTTGCCATTGTTCAAAGTCACAGACAATGTACCTCCAACGCTCATTAACAAAGAGATAACATGATAACCCTTTGAAAGAAAGTTATTTCCATTCAAACAGTGCCTCACACACGCCACCACTGAAGGTATTGGGATTATTTGCATCACTAAAGCTTTACATAACCCTGAAAGACCAAGTTCAACACCTCTTCAAGACTAATTTATACTGTGGACTCTCTGTTTAGCTCTGATTTGACAAAAACCAGTTTATATCTACACAAAATGAGATCCTATTTTGCTATTGAAGACTTGTAAATTAACAGTTAGAAAACAGTATACATCATCTTCATTAGTCTGCATGAAATATCAGAGATACTGAAAGGCTCTTTCTTAAAACAGTAACAGATCAGTACCTATTCATTGAAAATCATTTGGAATGTTAAATACTAAAAAGACCAGGGATTGTAATCAGCAAAATTCAAATACTGGGAGAATGAGTATTAGGATCACTTTTCCTACCATGTTATAGATGTTTACCTTTGCAATTCCAGCCCTATGAGCACCCTGTGATTCCATGTACGCTAAGTATTTGTTGAATTCCCTGAATTCATCCATTGAAGGTCTAAAAGTCATGATTTTGCAGCTTGGGTTCGGAGGACTATCTGAGATGACAGCAGCCATTTTGATTCGCTTTCAATCCAGCTTTAAAAAAAAAAGAGAAAAAAAAGAAAAAAAATAACATACACTGTAGAGTATAAACTGCAAAACGAATTCTGAGATTCAACATACTTGGTTTCAGACATGAAAAAAGCTTCTAAATTCATCTGCCCAAGCTAGTATAAAAGGTACAAAACAAATGTTTACTTTTTCACTTTACTCTTTTAAGAATAGTTAGCTTTTACCCAGCACAAACACTGTTGTAAGTGACACGTACACAGTGCAGTCCATACCTCTATTTATACAGTATGTTTTCTCAAGTTAACCTGGCATCTCCCTGTGTAGATCCATCTGGATGTTCTGTATTTAGAGAGGTATATTACACAGGCACAGTCTACAAGAGTAACAAAACCACGTTTGATAAAATATCACTATTCCTATTTAGTAAATGGTAAACAGTAACTGTTCACCTTCCTACTCACACTGCAAATACAGAAAAGCACTTTATTTCCTAGCTCTCAGCATTTTAACAACAGGACTACACTACTCCTCATTCTCTGAAAGCTCTGCAACAGAAAACAGTATGCAAGTGATACACATAAAATGAGTATTTCCTCTTATTTCCATTTCTACACTAAGCATGACTAAAAAAAGTCATATTTCTATTTCACACCAAGATGTAGTACTCATGAAAGGATTGATCTTAAGCCAACTGACAGATACACATTATCCTCAGAAGGTGGTGTAATTTCGAACCATACATCACCATGTATGATCTATTGATCACAAAACTCTTCATTAATCTTACAAAAAAGCTCATCCCAAAATACAAATAACTCAGCTGTGACTAGCTTTTTACTGATTTCACTTTCCTGAGCACATAATTCATTCCCTCATTTTTAACATCTGCAAAATGCATGCAACCACCTTTATTTATGCTACCCACTATAACCATACGTTTTGCTTGTACGTCAGTGTATTAGCCGCTAATTTCATTAGCTTCATGTCTCTTCCAGTTTTGTATGAATCACTGCACAAGAAAGCTGCATGTGCAAGATAAGATGCCCTTCCGTCTTTTCGTGCTTCATGATCCTGTGAGTATTTCAAAATTTATAGTCTTTTTAGATTTTTATTTTTCCTCTCATTTTGCATCCCAACTTCACCCAGCATATCACTTCCCATTCTTAGCAATTAATTGCATTCCTTTATGCACACTCCCATCTTCAGTAATATCCTATTCCCCTCCCTACACTATATTTCATCCCTATTTGAATTTAAATTAACTAGATTGCTGCAACTGTGTGTCCAGCTTTCGGCTGAGACACAGTAATTTTCTTCCTGACAGCTGGCACAGTTCTGTGGTTTTGGATTCAGTATGAGAATAGTTGATAACACAATGATGTTTCAGTCGTTGCTAAGCACTGCTTATTCTGAATCAAGACTTCCCATGCCATGAGAGTGAGCAGGTATAGAGGACACTGAGAGAGATCATGGTTGGGACACCACACTCCAACTGGGATACTCCATGCCATAGAACATGTGCCCAGTACATAAACTGGGGATTTGGCCAGGACGGGCCAAGAGCTGCCTGGGGACAGGCTGAGCATCAGTCAGCAGATGGAGGGCAACTGTGAGCATCACTTGTTCCTCTTGAGTCTTTTCTCTCTCCTTTTCACTGCAATTGATAGCAGTACATTTTATTATGTTTCAATTATTAAACTGTTCTTATCTCAACCCACAAGTTTCACTTTGTTTTTCCAATTCTCCCCACCGGAGATGGGGTGGGAAGTGACTCCTTTGCAATCTGGGGTTAAACCACAACACTTTCCCATTCCAAAAATCAGTACCACTTAAATTTGAGGGTATTTTTGCATTTAAATTACCAAGTCCATATAGACAAATATACCTTGACATGTGTAAGTGGAATAACTTCCCTCGGTAGTAAACAGTTGGCTTGTATACAGTACATAATTTATTCTCATCTATTGAATTTCCACATATAATCTTGCTGATATGACCAGTCCCAGGAAAATGAAACTTGGATTTACGACCAAAGGTGAAGCTCTGTTTTCCTTCACTGCAAATTGCAGTAGAGTGTGTTTACTATTTGTAATGCTTCACAAACAGTAAAGTGTCACTGGATATGTAATCAAACAGGATATGTGCCATCCCTTTACAAAATCACATTTTAGGTATTCACCTTTAGATGTATTAAATAAGTATACACATCACTGAAATACACATACACACGCACCTTCCTCTAACCAAACCCTTTGCTATTTCTTCACTGTGAAAAAAATTGGTAGTCTTCCGTTATTCACCATTTCACACCTTTCAATCCTTTCTACTAACTGTAAATAAGACACCCAGCACTCAGTAGTTATTTTATCATAACACATAGGTAAAAATCCTTCCCTAAATTCTTTCTGTATTCTGCAATAGCGTCAGTGAGGTTTTGGGGCACTTTGCCCGGGAAGAGGAGGGAGAGGGGGAAATGAAGGAGAGGGGACAAAGGGGGACATAGGAGAGTTAATCTATCTATCATTTGATTTGTTTTTTTCTTTTAAAGCAAATGACTTGAGCAACCACTTACGAATGTGTCTTCTACATCACTAATATTCTTTATTTTAGTGAGCAGAGTGGACTTACCTGCCTATACTAAATCTAGCATTCCCAAACCAAGCCAAGGATTCTAAATGCACTAACTTTAATGGGGAGAAGTATGCTGCAAACAACAACAGCTGGAATTATTTTCAGTTAACCAATAACTGAATTGTCTCTCTACTACAACATCTCTCAGACATGTCTAAGCCTAATCAGAGCAACTATTTCTGCTTAATTTAATGTGGTGTTTGTAAACAGTATCAAACTAGGAAGATCGGCTGATAGGCCAGTGGGTCATGCTGCCATCCAGAGGGACCCTGACAGCTCGGAGAGAATGGGCTGGCAAGGAACCTCGTGAAGCTCAACAAGGGCAAGTGCATTCCTGCACCTGGGGAGGAACAACCCCAGGCATACAGGGTACATGACGGAGGTTGAAGGCTGGAAAGCAGCTTTGCTGAAAAAGCCTTTGAGACTTTCGGACACCAAATGGAACACAAGCCAGCAACATTCCCATGCAGCAAAGGTGGCTAACTGTGTCCTGGCCTGCACTGGGAGGGGGGCTGACAGAGCATAAATTCAGGTGATCCTTCCCTTTTATTCAGTCCTGGTGAGGGCATGCCCAGAGTGTTGTGGTTACTTTTAGGCTCCCCAATATGTGTGAGTGCGATATGGAGTTAGTGAGCATGCAACAAAAAGCACCATGACTACGACAAATGGACTGGAGCATCTCCCTTGTGAAGGCAGGCTCAGAGAGCTGGGATGATTCAGCCTAGAGAAAAGAAAGTTCTTATCTATGTGTATAAACACCTAATCAGATCACAGAATCATAGAACCATAGAATGCCTTAGGTTGGAAGGAACCTTAAAGGTCATTTAGTTTCAACTTCCCTGCCAGGGGCAGGGATGCCACTCACTAGATCAAGTTGCTCAGAGCCCTATCCAACCTGGTCTTGGATACTTAAAGGGATGGGCAGTCCACAACCCCTCTAGGCATCCTGTTTCAGTGCCTCACTACAATCATAATGGATAAGTTTCTTCCTAATATCCAATCTAAAACTATATCCTTTCAGTCATTCCCCCTTTTCCTATCACTACATGCCTTTATAAATTGGAGAAAAGGCCTAAGGTGTGATTATTCATCATTTCCAGTAGATGACTCCTAAAGTACAGAGGTGACTGCAATACTGAATACACATACCAGATTAGTTTCCCAACCCACAACACTCGTATTATAAGCCAATACTACAGAGTACACCCAAATTATAATCTTACCTAAGGCCCCACGGAGGATAAACAGCACCACGTGGAACACATACTTCAAGTAAGTGTACAACACGCTTCTGAGAAACAGCACAAAAGCTCTCATTCAAATAAATCAACATTGTAACCAGAAAATATTAAACCAATCCAATTAATTGCTTATAACAAGTTTTGTTTCAACATGCTCTGGTCAGCCCTCTGGCCATGTCAATCCTTTGTGCCTGATATTGGGTACCAACATGGACTGTCACAGTTTAACCCCAACCAGCAACTAAGTATCATCATTCACTTACCCAGGAGGAGAATTAGGCAACACAGTAAAACCGATGGGCTGAGATAAGAACAGCTTAATAATTGAAACAAAGCAAAATTTATTATCATCATAGAGAGAAAGATAAAACGTAAGAAAAACAAGTGATGTAAAATACAATTGCTCGCCATCTGCTGACTGATGCCAAACCCGTGCCCAAACCGCAATCAGCCACTCTTCTGAGTAATAATGGCCAGTCTTCGCGAGCGAAGATCCGGGAAAGGTCTTTACACCTTCCAGCCTGCGCATTGGATTTTTTAGGTGAGACACAGTGTGCGCGGAACTGAGCCCACCCTTTAATCCTAAGGTTCATCTGCCGGGGCCAAGTGAGCTTGGACGGTGGCAGCGAGGTCCTCAGGACGTAGATGGATTACCTTACACGGTTAACGAGCTCCATCTGCCCAGGAGTGTCCCTGACTGGGAATCGAACCCGGGCCTCGGCGGTGACAGCACCGTGCCCTTACCACTAGACCACCAGGGGCTCCCTCTTCTGAGTAACTCTCCCAGTTTATATACTGGGCACGATATTTCATATTATGGAATGTCCCTTTGGCAGTTCAGGTCAGCTGTCCTGGTCAGCTCCCTCCTAGGTTTTCATTCAGCTCTTCATTGGAAAAGCATGAGACACTGACAAATCCTTGACTTAAGATAAACATTGTTTGGCAACAACCAAAACATCACTGTGTTACCAGTATTATTTTCACACTGAATCCGAAACACAGCACTGTACCAGCTACTAAGAAAAAATTAACTCTCTCCCAGACAAAATCACGACACAAGACAATGGCAACTGGCACAAAATGAAATAGATGAAATCCCATCTGAACATCAGAAAACACTTTCTCACAGTCAGGGTGGTCATACACTGGATGAGGTTGCCCAGAGAGGCTGTGGAGTATCCCTCCTTGGGAGATATTCAAAAGCCAAATGTCCTGGTTCCAGCCAGGATCGGGCTAATTTTTTTGCAGTAGCTGGGAGGCAGCATGGTCAAGACCCTGATGGCATTCAATGCCACCTCAGGTCATTGCCAGGGGCAGGGGAAAGGGACCCTCTTCCAGGCAGAAGGGGTTCCTTTCTGTGAGAAAAGGTGATGGGGGAAGCCCATTGGTATTTGTTTATTGTCTGGGGCTCCACAGTGAGCATTTTTTGCATGAGAATAATTTTTTCTTTCTGTACACTTTTGTTAGGAATATTGTTGCTGTTACTGTTTGGTTTCTTACCTCATTCCTGTTTCCAATAAATTATTCTTATCTCAACCCCTGATCTTCACCTTTTTTGCCTCCAATTCTCAACTCCTTCCCGCACCAACGGGAAGGGGGAGGAAAAAGGGGATCAAGAGAGAGGCATGTGGTAAGGAGAGTCTCGGTGGGAATGCTGAATTGGGAGTACCATTCCTAAAACAGGACACCAGTTCAACACTTTTTGAACAATTCATTGCAGCTGAGCCTGCTTTGAGCAGGGAGATTGGACACGATGATCTTCAGACATCCCTTCCAACCTCCACAGTTCTCCAAGTCCAAACTCTTCCCACCTACTGCTCTAAATTAACCACTGCATCTGCACAGCTGAACACAAAAAGTAACAGTGAAAAATTAATAATAATTCTGCCAACTCATACAAGCACACAGTAACAGATATGACCTACATTACCTTCCACTACATCACAGATGATGCCCATTTCCAAAAGCATTTCCATAAATTGATTTACCAATTAATTTAATCAGTTGCTATGTAAACGTATTAAATTAAATCATCCTATAGAAAGCCAGTGTCAAAAGGAAACCTCATACGAACCTTTTAATCCTAGTTTTGCCTTTGTGTGCAGAACATAAGAAACCACAGTGCCTGGATGTGTTCCAAAAAATTTATCTCCTTTGGAATTAAATTTGTCTAAGTTGAAGGGGTGTAAATCTGAAATATATCTGACTTCCTACATTCCTTCTTCAAAGAGGTAATGAGACAAGAAAAAGCCATATCAAAGTGGTTCAGATACCAGAAAAGCTGCAAGATGATTTTGGCCAGTGTCTGATTTCATGCACCAGCCACAAGCTTATTATGACATGAATTAGTATGATAAACATTCCTCTTAACAAAAACATCTCACCAAAGTATACCAGCTTTAATAGCTTTAAAAATAGCAATGTACCATATGAACTGAATATATCCTAGTACCTAGATACAAAGAAGAAATTTATTTAATTTAAAGATTGTTAATCAAATTAATAACCAGTGATTAACTCACACTAGCTTCCACAATCACACGTCAACATTCTTGTCTGGCCAGTAGATTCCTAAAATCCTGTTTGTAAATATACTAACAGGATTATTCTTCTGCTTCTTTGGAAGTAAGACAAGCCACAAGCATATAACTGAATTGTACCGTGATGAACTTCAACCAGAAGCAAGTAGAATAACTTTCAACACATCATGAACACAGGTACAGCACTGGAAAGGCAGAATTTCGCCCAGCTTCACTGCAGTGTGAAAAATACAAATCCTGTATTTCACAAGATCTTTTATCTACCTGCTTCCATGCATCTGAGGCCCCTAAGCAATGACCACACACACCAGTCAGCTTCTTTTGCTGCAAATAAACTGTCCAATCCAAGCTCATCTTCCACAATAAAAAATGCCTTTTCATTAACTTACTGGGTAAAATTGCTCTTTGATAAGCACAATGTTTGTAAGAACACACCTTGAGCAGTTTCTACTCTATAGCATCCTTAGCATAAGAGGCAGAAAGATCATAAAAGCTATGCAGTAAATGTTATGCTGGAAGTCCACTAATTAGATGCTGCTACTCATTTTATGATTTCTCAGTAATTTAACACCCTTACAACTACAACCTATTTTATTATTGCATTTGTTCATTACAAATGCAATAATAAACAGTAACCATCAATATTGTGTTATAGGTTTTAAATTCACCACAAAAAAAACAAAGATAAGCTACAAACCACCCAGAAAATGTTGGCCTTCCAATTCAGTTCTATTAACTTCTAACACACTACGTAATTCTCTCAAGGACTTTGTGGGCCTCAAGAATCCTACCTACCTTCTCCAAACACTGCCTATTTTTGTTCTTTTTCTCACATGCAAAAATTCAGTTATACCCTAGTCTTCCAAGTTCCATTTATTTGATACCTATTATAGAAATCCAAACTAGCAGTTGTGTTTAATCAAATTACAAGCACGACACCAATTCACACAACTAGAAAATACTAAACCAGAATTAAAAACACTAGAAAAACAGCATGTGTTAAATTGCAGTTGGTTAAAATGCGCAAAAACCTGCAGCCCTCACTACATGAAAACAACTTTCAGTATTACAGTATTGTTTCTCTGTCTCAACACTAAGCTGACAGATGTACTCTGAAGGCTATCCACTTCTTTTTCCTTCTAGTTTAAGATGAACAAACTTTGAGATCCACCCATCATCAGCAGGGAACCAAAACTTTCTGGCTTTAAACACCACAAGACAAAATATTGACAAATTATTTCTTCCAAAGATGCTTTGTGGGAGGCATCTCTTGACTGCCCACTTTGGCCTCTCTTCTGAAAGCACTGCTGAACAGGAAAGGAGGAAAAGCACAGTCAGCTCTGTCTACTGTGCTATACACAAAATTATTAGCTAACATGGGAAAGTGCTAAGTAACTACAGACCACTTGTGTCATACCTGTGTCACAGGCTCATATTTTGAAAGTAAGGTTATTTATTACTTCTGTGTGTTCTAACACACAAAATATCAACATCCACAACCTTTACTCAGCAATCCAAATTAAACAAATCACACAAAGCAAGCTTCAGTGAAAGAGAAAAAGAAAGAAGACAGGAAGACAAGAGATCAAATCTCTGAAGGTCATCACTTCTCTCAGATAAATTAGCTAAAACACATTCTTTCCTTTTTCTTTTGTTGCAAATTTTCACCCACACAAAGTATGGGATAACAAGCATTTGAGGAAGAACTAACTCTGAGAATTTTTTTTAAAACATCTAATAACAAGAAAATAACTTTGTCCAGAGAAAGGTATGGACAAAAAGCCACAACATTTTTCTTGAGGTTGATCCGAAAGAAAACATGAAGTAATATATTTGAAAGCAGTTGTCAGACACAAAAGTTTTCAATTAAAAAAATACAAGATAAGCATTCACATTATGAAGTACTAGCTGCCATTTTTTAGGAATCATTCAATAAAAACACTTTATTGACAAAACCCGAAGAAAATTACAATTAGCTCCCCTAACTTTAAAGATGTTTGTACTACCAGCTCTGAAAGAGCTGGAAAGCAAACTAGTAGGAAACCATGTCTTAATCTACAATAGTCTAAGCAGCAATTTTATCTACAACACAGGTAAACACTCCAGGGTAGATTCACTTCTGATTTTCTTACATTGTTTTTAAAGCTTTTAGCATAATCTGTAAGTAGGCAGCATTCAACTCTCTCTATTGTTTGACAAACTTAATTCAAAGATGCAAGATACTACACAAATGCACGGTCCATGACTAGGTATAAGAATTACTTTTAGGTAATTGCAAACATAAAAGCACAGTTTGCATATTCAACTATTACTAAGCATGCAAATAGTTAATACTCAATGTAATTTGTTTTTGCACAGTTATGTTTGAATTATTCCTTTAATCACAGTAAATGCACAGGCAAATTAGGTCTGCCTATTTTATGAACCTGGCTTTGAAAGAGATCCTATCTACCAGAAATTCCAATTCTGTCAATTAGATTATTTGGTTGTATTAACTGATAAAAGAAATATATGGGACAGAGTTCTATATTTGTGATATGAGGCCAAATCTCATAGTTAGGTATGCATTCCTCAGACATCTACCATCATCAGGAAGAATCAATTAAGTTTTAAAATGTTAGGAGTATTGATGATTTTAATAGACTATAAAAACTTAAGAAACCAGGAATCTGGGTAGGTAACCATATTCTAAAACTCCTAAAACCACCTCAATTTTACTGTAAAGTTCTGAGCCATCTGCAAACTTCATTTCTTATTTGCTTTTCTGTATTTGGTACTAGCCTTACAGAAAAAATATTGCAAAAATATAAAAATGGTTTAATTTGAACCCATAAATATTGAGCTGAAAAATTACCTGATTTCATTCCATAGACATTCTTTTCCCACATCAAGTTCACAGCATGAAAAGCATCTTGAAATAACTGATCTAGGACAAAGGGCAAGAAGAAAAAGAAAAAAAAGAAAGAAAAAGTACTTTTCTCATTTGCAACCTATAATCACAGGAGAGAGTGGAAGGCTTAGACAAGTTATTACAGAAGCTCTGCCATAGAGTCAGGAGCTACAGAAAGGAATCCCTTGCTTTCTAAACTTCTTAGAGAAGGGTTTAGATGTAGCATAATCAGTCCTATCTTAGCCTCAGACTGTGTCAACGGTTTCAATTTAAAGAATTATAGAACTGTGATTAAATCACTTTGTCCTGTACATTTTTAATAATGGTAAAATGGATATATTTATATAAAATTAATTACTTACTACGACAAGTGAACAGACAAGTGAACAGATGAAAGATCTTAATCGAAATTATTTACTACACAATGTAAAAGCTAAAAACCTACTAGTAGGGCATCATATAACATAAAGCAGTATAGGGCACTGTAACAAAGCAATTATATTAAAGCAACTGTATCAAAGCTACCAAAAGAAACAATCATTAAGTAGAGATTGATATAAATCACAATACGAGATAGCGGGCAGGTCTGTCTTTTTCTCTTAACCCCTGGGGAGTAACCCTGAAGATGTGTCCCTGCTTCACGGGAGAAGTTCCACACTTGACAAAAGTATGTGGAACAGTCTGCCACATGGAAGTTGGACTGGGCTTTTATAGCTATAAAATGATGGACTGGTAGTCACAGGTTTACAGGCCAGTGACTAGCTTATCGGTCAAATCCTGCTTCAAAAACCAGGATGTGTATCTGAAGCCTGGTGAACCTGGCTAGTTTTAACATAATTCAACACCAAGCCAGCATCCTGGCTCCAGCAGTAGAACTTGCTTAATGGTCTGCATGATGGCCTGCATAATGACCTGCATAATGGCTTGCATTGTATGCATTCTCTGATCGGATTCCAGGCCTTATCGGGTAGGCCACCCTGCCCCACCCATGTTTCAGGAGTTTTTACTTTCTTTTTAATGAAAACATAAGTATGAGATCCATAGACCTAGTCGGTATTTAACAGGCTTCAGCAACAGCAAGTCAGATCTATCAAGTTTCCACAGCTGCTAACAGCAGGCATCTAGTAAACAGTAAGTGTAGGAGTAGCTTTATAATATACTTTTTCAGAATACCATCTAATTCTTCAGCGATGTATATATCAAGGCATCCTTAGACATGGCAGATATTACTCGCATTTGGTGGAGTTCCATGATTTTTCCCCCACAATTCTGAATTTTTGTAGGCCTTTAGTATCCAAAACATCTCACAACACAGTACTCTACAATTAATACACTAAGTGACGTGTCTTCTTCTGTATATTTTGACTATTTCACATTTTAGTTTTATCTGATATCTGAAGTGCACACTGGGAACAGTTACCTAACTGCTCATATTTACTTTCTGAACACTCATGACTTACAGATCTCTACCATGATCTCATGCCGTAAATGTCTTCCAAGCTGAAAACTTCCAGTCTCACCACAGAAAATCCATTCCACATTTCTGATCATCATTGTATCCTATTTATGAATCTTAACTAGTTCCAGTAAATTATTTTTAGTCATGGGAAATGGATATTAAAGCTGCAAGCCCTATTCAAGATGCAAGTAAACCATGGATTCACACAATGGTGTAACAACATTATCAAATCTGGGTGCAGTCCTCACAGAGTCCGGACAGTGGTTTGGCCTAGCTCTCAGTTTTCAAAAGGCTAATTTACAAGTACCCAAAAGTTCAGAGAAATATTCACTGCTAAAGCAGTCTGTAATACTGATGGGAATAGAAAATGCAGGTGGTGGATGTGAACTGCTTCGTGATTAAACACTTTCAAAGAGTTCTACTAGGTCTGTAATTTCTGCCAATATATATTTCTCAAAAAAGTCTCCCTAACTATATGGTATGTAATTAACTGCTTTTGCAGGTCTCCTCCCAAAAGATACTCTTATATCTTGGATTTAATAACTCCTTAACATATATATCAAAACATATATATTCTTTTCAACTCAAGGGAATGGCATGAAGCTGCATCAGGGGAGGTTTGAGCTGGATATTAGGAAAATATTCTTCACCCAGAGGGTGGCTGGGCACCACAACAGGCTCCCCAGGGAAGTGGCCACAGCACCAAGTCCCGCAGAGTTCAAGGAGCTTCTCAACAATGTTCTCAGGCATATGGCATGATTCTTGGGGTGTCCTGTGCAGGGCCAGGAGTTGGACTCAATGATCCTTGTGGGTCCCCTCCAAATCAGGATATTCTATGCTTCTACAATTCTGCAAGGATTCGTATATCTCAGTAAATGCAAAGGAGATTTCAATAGGGACAACAAAAGAACACTGTGAGTTTAGAAGTTTCACCAACTCAGATATAAGCCATACCTACAACCTTGAAGGCAACAAATCAGTTAAGAAAAAGCTTTTATTTTATTATTAATTAATAGTTTTCCAAATTTTAGAGATTTTTACTGATCTCAGTTTTGAAATATTTAGCATCATTTATTCAAATCAAATACTCCAAGTACTTCACTGAATCCACCTAAATATGAAGAGTTTGACTCCTAAAACTTAGGGAGTTTCTTACACTTTTTTTATTTCTACGCTTTTATTCATAGCTCAGTTAGCAGACTTCTACACATTTCCCCTATTTTAACTTTAAATCAAAATTACTATTTTGTTTCAAAACAGTTTTTGATTATAAACAATTTATCCACCTCGAAAGCCATAGGTTCATTTACCATTTTAACAACTTACATATTGTTTTAATCAAAGAAATAAACTGTGAAAATTAAACAAAACCTGTCTCAGCACAATAATTTTGTCATACAGCATCTACCAGGAATAGGAGTACTTATCTAGGTACTTCTTACAGACAAGGTACCTGCTAGTAACTGTCTTTTAATTTTATTAGACAAAACCCAGCAGAAGATCACAGGTCTAATGAGCTAAATCCCAACAGCCCCAGCTGAGTCACTCTACGTTTTACAGGCAGAAATGTCACAAAAAAACTGGAATATATTTTGTTTGTGAAATTTCCCCATAATACCTGTATTTGAATTATTCCACCACGTCTGAGAATCAGAAAATGAAACTGATTAGAAATTTGATTTTTTCCCATAATCAGTTTTCATAAAGAATGTGTTTTGAATTTTAAATCTTTCAATTTCAACACCTGAAATTTAGAATCTTGACAAGTTTTCTAATCCTTGTTTATTCATATTGCCCTCAGTTTTCAGGGTATACTGTCCCACAAATGATAGATGTAAACAGAATTAATGATAAAAATGAGTATTTGCATAACTCAGTAATATGACCACTCATACAAAGCCAACAACTCAACCACTACATGCCAACCCACAATTTTGAACAGGTGAAATAAAGTTGGAGGAAAGTGCAAGGCTACAGAAGAATTTTTTATGACACAGAATGGCATCCAAGAAACCTGAAGTAAACACCAAGCCTTCATAAATCAAAACTACAATAAGAGTTTATAACACATTCTGGACTTTGGATGAGCAAATTTTTATTAACACCTTCATTACATGATTTGATTACACAACAACTACTATCCTGCAAGTATAAAATAATGTGCATGATCAAAATATCCTATGGGTCTGCCTGTGAATGTAAACGAAAATCAAGAACTCAACACATCATTTGTTCATTTTGAGATATGAAATATCAAGCTATCAAATGACTGTGGAGATTTTTTACCAGATACGTACTAAAATCTTAATATTTCAGGACATCACCTTTTGAATGATTCCTGCAATCATTCAGGGAACTTGAAAATATCTTGTATTAACAGAATTACTGTAGTACAGCTTCATATGGACTAAAATTAGGTATTAGGGTGGAGTTTTCCAATTTACACTGAGGATAGTAAAGTAAAAACACAACCTTTTTAAAACATATTTGACCAAAACTGACACCACCACAAACCCCATTCATGTTCTGTTCATCATTATGCTGATAAAACAGTCTTAGCAAAAAAAGCCTAAAAAAAAAGTTAGTAAATAACTGAATTAAATGCAGAACTAAGAATGAGACCAATCGAGAGCTGGTTAAACTCAGAAAAGCTTACATCTACTCAATTCAATATTTTTATTAAAAGTTGCATATAAAATTATATTTTTTACTAAGTAGTGTGTCTCCTACTAAAACTTTAGGAATACTCAATAATTAGCAGTTGACAACATTCTGATTTGAATCACTCTGCTGACTGTGCATTCAGATTTAGTGCAAAACTATTTAACCGATTTGTTTAGAAATCAGGTCAAGAGCTATAAAATTCTGCATGCAATACTCATCAATAATTAAGGACTTAAACTTATGGGATTTTAATTTTTTCCCCATTTCATCATATTTACCATAAAAAAAAAAAAGAAAAAGAGAGACTAAATCAAATTACTTTCTAAAACCAACACTGACTGAAGATTTTTCCCTCATCTACATCCTAATCCAACAGCTATTTACTCATGCCCACGTATTTGGATGATACCTATTATTTCCTGGGTCAATCCCTGGAAAGGGAATTGCATTTATGCACATCTGTATCTGCATTTAGCTAATAGAAAACCATCAGCTGCCAGCAATCAGTAACACCAGCACCACTCCAAATCCAAGTCGAGAGAGGGGCAGTGGTTCAATTTACTATCATTTTAACTACTGAAACGGAAACCATGCTTGTGTTTTCCATTTTCTTGTGTTTGGAAGGTACATGCCTGAAGCAATGCCATCAGCTAGTTATCACAGTTCAAGTTAAAATAAGGGTAAAGCCCAAGACAAATGCTATACCACGGACACAAAAATAAAGCCCGTTGTAGAGTGACAAAAAGTAGCCTGCGTTAGGCTGCTAGAAGGTTTCATTCTTATAGAAAACGTTTCAGCTTAAAACGTAGCCAACAGGCAACTTCCCCAGGTACAGTTGATAACTATAGTGCAAAGAATCATAAATCTGCAAAAACGTAGTTTAAAAATGTAAAATATAAATGCTGTTTACTCTCCGAGCTAGTACCATTTTTTAACAAACACGCGGACATACAGTATTCTTCCTAACACAGTTAAGCTATCAGAAATAATTTTTTTGTATGCAATCCCCATTTCAGATTGCCACCTAAAATCCAATAAAGGGAGAAAGCTCATTAAGAGAAGACCATCAGGGAGGCACAGGGCCCCGATCCCAAAACCAGCTCCGAACGCCACGTGCCACCGTAAACACAGGCAGACACACGTGGAACCGGCGCTTAACTCGAGCATTTTGCTGCGCGCCCAACTTCAAGGTCCTAGAGACGCGCAGGAACGAACGCGATGCGCGGAAAAGAGGCCGCGTGGAAAGCCCACGTAATTTCAGCGCAGCAGGACACGGAGCGAGGTAACGCTGTTTCGCTCCGTCCACACGCCCCGCACACGCGGGGCGTCTGGACGGAGCGAAACACAGCCGTTCCCACAGCTGCGCTTTCGCTTCCCCGCCTCGGCCGCAGCCGCCACCCACGGCTGGCGGCCGGAGCCCCCCCGGGGCGGGCTCTCCGTCCCGGCCTTCGGGAGGTGCCGCCTTCCCCCGTGGAGCACTCGGCCCCCTCCCCTCGCCCCGGGGCCCGGCCAGCGCTCCGTCCCACCCTGCTCCTGCTCGCCGCCCCGCACCTGCACCTGTACCTGTACCGGAGCGGCACCAGGAGCGGCACTAGGAGCGGCAGCAGCAGCCGCGGCCGCCGCCGCCTCAGGCCAGGCGGATCGCGGCTCGCGCAGCTCCCGCCCGGGGCCGGCGCCGTCCCGGCCTCGCGATGACAGCGGAGCGGCTCGCGTCACGTGCCGGGAGAGCGCGCGCTGCTCCGCCCCCAGCCCCCTCCAAACCCTCACAACCCCACTCCGAGCTCCCTGGGGGTGGGGGCAGCGCCGGAACAGGGGGAGGAGCGCCCGGAGCTCCGGCACCGCCCCCCGAGTTGACGCCGAGACCCCGAGACACCGAGACACCCGTGCGCTTCCCCCGCCCCACCCCCGTGCGCCTCCCGTGCGCCTCCCGTTCGCCGCGGCAGCCGCCGCGACTCGCTCCGGGCGGAAAGGCCGGCCCGAAGCTTGCGAGCGAAGCCGGTCTGTGACAGAATCACGGAAACGGCAGGGTGGGAAACGACTTCAATCGTCGGGTCCGGCCTAGGACCGAACAGCGCCGTGTTAACCCGACCGAGGAACTTTTAAGTGCCACATCCCGTCCTTCCTTAAACATCTCCAGGGCCTGTGGCTGCACCGCTTCCCTGAGCAATCCGTGCCGATGCCTGAGCGCCCCTTCTGTGAACAAATTCGTGCCAAGTTCCTTCTGCTATTACCACAGTAACACTGAACAGACAGGACCTTTCAGGTCCATAGGAATGGTGAATCTCTTAGAGCAAGCTGTGAGGTCGACTTGGTTATCCTAATTAATCTCCTTTGAACCGCCATGTCCTGTATCAGTCAGTACGGCATTATGAAAGTGATTTGTTTGCAAAACTAATGTTACTTTTGGTGACAAAGGCCCACAATGCTCATTGTGTTTGTGTTTACATTCTAAAGTGCCACGGTACAGTATAATTTTTTACTGTTCGGATTGTTGCTAAAATAAATCAATCTGTGGTTTAATCACTGTGTGATGTTCTTTGACTTTTCTAATTCGTCAGTAATCTTTCTTAATCTTTCATTTTGCCTTCTGGTTGCTGTGTTCAAGAAAATAGTGAAAAGCGACCAAAAGATAACTGAAGGACAAGTCCTTTTATGCATTTAAAGAATGAAGAATGCTTGAAGAATTTTGCATTTCTACTATGTAAAAACAATATTTATACTTCAATATATCTTTAAGCACCAAAACCTTTTTCAGTATTAAAGGAACCTGAAAATACAGGAATTTTAATTGTTTGGGTTTGTTTTGTTTTTTTAAAGGAACATGTCTAGTGTTATAACTGCTTTGCTCAGACAAGTTCATGGTTTTTTGTCATTTGGACACAGTAGTACTTGTTAAGAACACTTATGCAACTGTATATGAATATTTCCTATGGCACTGCTGTGTCCAGCAGTGTCTAAAATGAGTGATCCTCATCTGCCTAAGGAGAGAAATTTTATTTCACTGAATATGAAAAGGAGAAACAGAGGGAGTTTTTTGCCTTCTTGCTCAAGCCTTTGGCAGGTGGGGTGTGTTAATAAAATGTTTGTTTAATGCTTACAGGAAAACAGTGCAGGTTAATGTAGTTTCTCATTCAGTTTGTTCTCTCCTTGCTGATTCATATACAAAGAACAAAAGACTGATTTAGCATTGTTTTCAAATGTGATCTCTAACACTCATGGTAAGTACTTGTTTAAGAGAAAGTACAGCAGTAACTCTTGAAAGAGTTGAGTCAGCATCTCTCCTCATCTGTTCTTTTTTCAGGTTGCAAGTCTTTGTGAGGCCCTTAAGTGCCTGGAGTGTATTACAGTTATTGCCAAACATACACCTCTCAGTGCCACTGGCTTGGCAGTCCCAAGGGATGGACTGAAGGTGCACGTGGATAGTCTGGGAGCATTAATCCTCATTGTACCGTGGCTATGGAAAACTATGCCTTGACATTGTTTTTCAAAGGCAGTAGCTCAGTATATCTGTCTTGATAGATGGAAGTAAAAACACCGGCCTTAGTCAGAGTAGTTGTGTAGTTATGCATGTTCAATAGATCAACATTTTGGCTTTATTAAGCTGCTCTGGCACAGCACTTTAAGTACTCACTGATCACCTTTAGTGGGTTCATCTCAAAGTATCTGTTAGTTTGCCAACATGTTCTAACTGGCATGAAGAATCTTTTTCTTACTGAGGTTTAAGTAAGCTTTTCTGCACTTTATTCCTGCTTTTCATATTTTGGACTATGTCTTTAGGTTCATGTTGGCTACTAACAAAAGCCCTATTCATATGATAGCAACCACTAAGAGAAAAGGATGTAACCTGTAAGTTCCCTTACTTGTGTTTTATGGTGATGCAATATCTAGGCAGTCCAAAGTTCTAACCAAAAAATGGCCTTTCTGCTGTATGATAGTGTATCTTCTCTCTTTCTCCTCCTTTTCCAGAGTCGGAAGCCGTTCCTGATTTGAGGAGTTGACACCTGTTTAAGTTACAAGTTTGTCTTCCATGAAACCTCTGGGTCCCTATTTCAATGTTTAACCACTCATGGTGAAAACTTTTTTCCTTAATATACCCTGAATTTCATCTATTGCAGTTAATGTGTTTGTTTTGTCCTATCTCTGTGTTTTTCCATAGAGTCAAATAGTGTGGTCCAAGTTTCAATCCTATGTCTGCCAGAGGTAGTGAATCTTTTTCCATGTCTTGGAGACTTTGTTATTGCAGTTGTCTGCAAGGTAACATCACAGCATTGTGACTTCTCAAGAGAAGCAGCTTGCAAAGAAGGGCTGTTTGGGCCCCATCTTTTCTATGCCCTCCCACTAATTAATGGTGGACAGCAGTAAGGTCACCCTGAAGCCTCGTCCTCTTAAAGCTGAAGAAACCTAGCTCTCTCAGTCACTCCTCATTGGTGATATTCTCCAGCCCCTGACAATCTTGTGGCCTTCTGTTGGAAGTCTGGAGGTATGTCAATGTCTTTCATACACTGAGAAGCTGAAAACTGATCACATGTTATTTCACCCAAATTGGTGCAGAATATTTCATTTTGGTTTTGAATATAGGTTACTTCCATATCCTGTAGCAATAACAAAAACATTTTCAGAATTTAAGTAACATATTTAACATTGTAGTAGCATAGCTATCTAAAGTAAGGTTACTTTTGAGGTACAGAACATTCACTTCTAGAATTCCACTGCAATACTTCTTAAAATACATGAGATGGCAGCAAATACCAGGGGAAAAAAAAAAAAAAAAACCAAAAAAAACCAGCACTGATGACCCAGGGCAGAGAAGCTGTTGGCAATGAGAGAGATGTTACCCTGCTCCTGATACAATTGTGTAGACTGTGCAGGTTGCTGCAAATTCCATTATACTACACTGAGCTATAAGTCAGGGCATGAGTGCTGACTGTTCGAATGTAATACTGACTGAAAATTTCTGCAACCTGTATGTTTCATTAATAGTATGCAGGTTAGCAGTCTTATACAAGAGAAGAAACAACTTTTTGTTTGCTTATTTTAACTATATGTCTTTTGTCAGATTTACATCTTTTTCATTATGTTTTAAAAATTTTGTAGCAATATGTAAGCTGCTAACTTTTAGTGTTTTGGAAATTCATTCACTGTGGAACTTTGTATCAGTTAAACATTTCTGTGACATGAAGTTAAGCATATTTAAACTGGGAACGAGAAATAGTAAAAACTCTAACAGGAAAAATAGAGAGTTAGTTTACCCACATGTATAGTTGGTAGGTAGTGTCTTTCTGATAGTGTCATTGTACTCAAATCAAAAGTCTTTGAGTACTTTGTGTCAGAACTTACTGGCTTCTGTAAGGGTGGTACTTTTGATTTAGATGATCAGTGGAGCATAGAGGGGTGAGAAAGTGGTTATATTAGGATGTGAAACCAGCCAGAGTATTGTACAATGTAACTTTATTGCACAAGTTGACTGTAAGGCCCATTGTGTTTTTAGCAAAGTTAGCTAGATGTCCCCTCTTATCATAGCTGAGTTCCCACTTGCCTTGGTTACATTCTGCAAGATAGATACAAATACCCTTGAAACACAGTGGTAGAGGTCGTACATAGGAGTGAGGAAGATGATGGAGAGAGGAAGATGATGTGGGCAGGGGTCGTTCGCCCCTTGCCCTACAGCAGGGCACGCGCAGACCGTTGTTATGAGGTAATGAACAGGCGGTGTTTGGCTACCACTCAAGCATCACCTTATGCTGCATCCTGGCCCTACGTCGTGTAATGTAGAGCTGATAAAATGGGGTGTCAGGACTGCTGGGTTGAGCAATACTCATCCTTCCATGGAGACTGTGCTGCTCCACAGGGACACCAACTAAGCATGGGTACTGACCAGCCACTGCAGATCCTGGTGACCCTGACCTGTCTGTGTAGGTAAGCACAGTTTTTTGATAGGAAGCAACCAAGAAAGCAAATGTTTTATATCCTTTTTTGTATCCCTTTAATTCTCTTTTTACTAGCTAATACTGTAATAGAGGCTGTTTGTAGTATTGTATGAACGCCAACAGATAAAGTAGTGTTTTTGTATTCTTGGTTTTTGTATTCTTTTTTAGCTTTTGATTCTCTTTGCTAGTAGTTTTTTACTCTCACTGCAATAAAAGATTTTTTGTAGTGTTTGAATGACTGTTGTACTTGTCTTGTTCTGGGCACGTATCCTAACGAACTGATACAGCTTGATGCAGAAATTCCCAGAATATCTATGCATCTCTTACAAAGGTAAACTAGATAATCATAAATAGAACTTTCAAGTTGGGAGTTCAGGCTATTTGTTTTTATTATATTTATTCTTGACATTTTACATTAAACATAGAGGAAACATTATTGTATTTAATACGAATGACTTTCATTAAAAAGCTTCGCTATGCAGACAGCGTCCATTTCAGCCAATAGCTTTTTCTGCTCAGAAAATATCAGAGCAAAATAGAGAGGTTATGCCATATTGACTCTGTGGAGCAATAGGGCTGGAACAGACCCACTGCAAGTCTACTCAGGAATCAAGTCTCTGAGGCCCAAGTTCTGGCCTCCCAGACAGTTCAGCTGAGCAGCCAAAGGCTCATTATTTGGTGGCACTAGATTTTTTTGTGTGTGTGTTCTTGCTGTAAGCTTTATGAAAAATGGAGGCTGATTTCGAATAGTACTAGACAGATGGTCAAGAGTCTTGATTGTACTGTAGTGTGAAAGGGATGAAAAATTAACAGTATATAATCAGGGAGATTAATCAGTGCATAGAAGGAACCTCTCAGTGCACAGCGATGCCACAAAAGCATAAGGCACCTGGTGTGAACAGAAGAGTTTGTGACATCTCTCATTTTCAATAGTGATCAGTTCAAGCCATCGCTGGTTACGTGGTTCTCATTGTCATTGGTTATAATCTGCATCCTTCTATTAGTACAAGTTTTCATTTTTTTGTCTCCTAAAGTTTTTTAAGAAGCTGAAAAATCAAGCACCTTTTTGAG